CCCAGCTACTTGGGAGGCAGAGGCAAGAGGATTTCAAGTTTCAACCCAGGCCATCATGCATCCCCAGTACCAGGGGGTGGGGGGGAAGGGACAGACATGGAAACAACTCAGAATGGGAGACAAATTTTGTAAATATACTAATAATGAATTCATCCAGAAATTACATAGAATTCTTACAGACCAATAGTAAAAAAGAAAAACCCTAGTTAGAAAATCAATAAAGGATCTGAACAGACATTTCTCCAAAGAAGACATACAACTGGCCCAAGCGATGACACTCAGTATCACCTGTCACCAAGGAAGTGCAAATCCAAACAAGGAGATGCCACTTCACACCCACTAGAAGGACTCATCAAAGACTGGGGGAGGGGATGAGAGAAACCAGAGCCCTATGTACTGCTGGTGGAAGGGAAATGCTGCAGCCACTTGGAAAACAATCTGACACAGTTCCTAAAGTTTAAATAAAGTCGCCATACAAACCAGCAATTCCACTCCTGCCGATGTTAAGAGAAATGAAAACATCTACCCACAAAATCTTGCACGGTAACTTTCATACCATTTTCTTTTTTGTGCGTGTGTCATTGGGGTTTGAACTCAGGACCTCACGCTTGCTAGGCAGGCCCTCTACCACTTGAGCCCACTCCACCAGCCTCACAACATTATTCTGAATAGCCAAAAAGTGAAACGATCCAAATGCCCATCAGATGATGAGTGGATAAACATCCATACGACAAAACATCCCTGGCCACAGAAAGGACCAAACCACAGACACAGGCAACAGCATGGCTGAGCCTCGTAAACACTGTACTCAGTGAAAAAAAGCCAAACGCAAAGGTTACATGTTGTATGATTTCGTGTTCATAAAATACCCAGGAGAGGTAACTCCATAGAGACAGAAAGTAGATCAGCAGTAGTCAGGGCTGAGGGGAGGGGATGAGTAATAACTGCTAATGACTCCAGTTTCTTCATGGGGTAAAGAAAATGATCTAGGGACTGGGGATGTAACTCAGTGGTTGAGTGTATGCCTCGCATGCACAAAGCACTGGGTTCAATCCCCAATACCACAAAAAAAAAGAAAGAAAATGTTCTAAAATGGATTAAAGTGATGTTTGTACAATTCTGTCAATGCACTAAAATAGAAACTAAAAATCTCTTTTAAAGAGATCTAAAGAATTTAAAAGGCAAACCGATTTGTACTATGTAAACTTAAATCCTGAGTTGGAAAACTGAAAAATTTTAAGACAGTCATGGAAATTTGAACATTGACTGGATAGTTGATGATATTAAGGAATTACAGATATTAAGGAATTACTATTAATTCCTTAATATACAATAATGTAAATGAGTTATGGGAGGGTGCTTTGTTTGTTTTGGTTTGGTTTTCACAGTACTGGGATCTGAACTCAGGGCCTCAGGCTTACTAGGCAGGTGCTCTCTACTATTTGAGCCATTCTGCCAGTCCATGAGTTAAGTTTTTAAAAAGGAACTCCTATATTTTAAAGACACATGTTAAAACATTTGTAAATAAAATGTTATGGTGCTAGGGATTTGCTTCAAAACAACCTGAGATTACTCCAGAGGCACCTGCACACCCATGTTTATTGCAGCACTATTCACAATAGCCAAGTTATGGAAACAGCCAAGATGCCCCACCACTGACGAATGGATTAAGAAAATGTGGTATCTATACACAATAGAATTTTATGCAGCCATGAAGAAGAATGAAATGTTATCATTCGCTGGTAAATGGATGGAATTGGAGAACATCATTCTGACTGAGGTTAGCCTGGCCCAAAAGACCAAAAATCATATGTTCTCCCTCATACGTGGACATTAGATCAAGGGCAAACACAACAAGGGGATTGGACTTTGAGCACATGATAAAAGCAAGAGCACACAAGGAAGGGGTGAGGATAGGTAAGACACCTAAAAAACTAGCTAGCATTTGTTGCCCTTAACGCAGAGAAACTAAAGCAGATACCTTAAAAGCAACTGAGGCCAATAGGAAAAGGGGAACAGGTACTAGAGAAAAGGTTAGATGAAAAAGAATTAACCTAGAAGGTAACACCCACGCACAGGAAATCAATGTGAGTCAATGCCCTGTATAGCTATCCTTATCTCAACCAGCAAAAACCCTTGTTCCTTCCTATTATTGCTTATACTCTCTCTACAACAAAATTAGAAATAAGGGCAAAATAGTTTCTGCTGGGTATTGAGGGGGTGGGGGAGAGAGGGAGGGGGAGGAGTGGGTGGTAAGGGAGGGGGTGGGGGCAGGGGGGAGAAATGAACCAAGCCTTGTATGCACATATGAATAATAAAAGAAAAAGGAAAAAATAAAAAATAAATAAAATAAAATGCAAAAAAAAAAAAAAAACAACCTGAGAGAAGGGCAGGAAATTCAGAGATAAAGATGAAAGACTCATGCTGGTAAATATTGGAGCCACAAGTAGTACTTGGGGGTTCATTGTACTATTCTTTCCACTTTTATGGTGCTTGAAATTCTCTACTTAAAAAAGGGGGCCAGCCAGGTGCCAGTGGCTCACGCCTGTAATTCTAGCTACTCAGGAGGCAGAGTTCAAGAGGATTGCACTTTGAGGCCAGCCCAGGAAAATGATTCACAAGACCCTATTTCAAAAATACCCAACACAAAAAATGTAACTGAGTGGCTCAAGTGATGGAGTGCCTACTTAGCAAGCTAGAGGCTGAGTTCAAACCCCAATAACACCCCCAAAACAGGGGAGTGGGTGGCAGAAGAGGAAATATTTCCCTGCCACATTACACTATCATGTGCCAATTATCAATCCCACAGGTGGGGAAGCTCACTTTCAAATGTATTCTCAAGAAACAATTAAAAATACCCTTGGGCTGGGGTGAATCACAGTAAATAGAGCAGGTACAAGACCCTGGGTTTGATCCTTACCACTGAGGGGAAATAAGCTTTAGATTTTTCCTTTCTTTTCCATCCTCAGGGACTACTTCCTCCAAAACAAGGTTTTCAGCTGAATGCTTTTTCCTAAAAAGCCATTTGGTGGTCTTTTATCATTTGTTTGGCTTTAGACCTAATGATTTTTTAATTAAATTTAAAACTTCCTGAGTTTTGATATTAAGTGGCTCCTGATCAATTTCCTTTTCCTTTGTCTTCTCAATTTCCTTTCCTCCTCTGATGAAGGCAGAAGAGAGAATTTCCGGTGCAGAAATTAAAAGTTTGAGAAAAGGAAAAGAAAGGGTTGGGGCTGAGGGTGTACCTCAGAGTCCAACACCTGCTTAGCATGCCTGAGGCCCTGGATTCATCCCCAGCACCACATGGATTAGTAGCAGGCCACAAGTTCCAAAACTGGGTCAAACAATAACCCTGCCTCCAGTCCACATGTGTCTTTCTGAAAACAACCACAGCCCTAAGTTCCAGACAGTAAGCCACCATGTGAGAAGCACAATACATTCAGTATTGAGTAATACTGTTTAGTCATTACAATAAGCCTAGGAGACAGACACTTATGTATTCCCACTTTCTGGAACTTCCAAAATGGTCAAGTAATATATCCTAAATTACACAGCTCCAAGTGGCACAGTCAGGACTTGAACCCAGGATGTCTGGCTCTAGGGCCTGCACTTAGCCAAGCCTCAATACCTCCTGGTGGAAGCCAGCCAGCTCAGGACATCTTGCTGTGCTGTCACCAATATTCAAGGACCTTATACAGAGCCAATCATTTGCTATGGCATCAGAAAGTGGACTGTCTGGCAGGAAGCCCCCTCCCCAGGTACCTCATTAGGACCCATTTCACTAACCTTGCTCTTAAAACAGGAAAAACAAAAAGCACATAACTTTTTTTTTTTGAAAGATCTTCAAAAATAACTTAGAAAAGAGCAGCACCTTTTGCCATGGCCCCTCTCCACCACCAGGAGCCCTGGGATGGAAGGTGACTGCCAATGGGGGTGGCAGGGAACTGGGTGCAATGCCACAGTGAAGAGAAAAACAGGCATTAGGAGGGTAGGCGGGTCCTCCTAAGTGGATCCAGATCCCACAGGGATCCCACAGGGGCCGGAAAGAGTCAGGGGCCAGTTGAGAGGCCTCCTGAGTCACACTCAACACCCAGAATGACTTAGCACCAAAACACCAACAGAACTCTGCAGAGGGAGGACGGAAGAGGACACACAGTCAAGGGACTAAAACTTAAGGAACACTTAAGACCGGCTGTCCACACCCACCTCCCTTACACTTCCAGCCTCCCTCCCCACACACACACACCCTCCCTGGTGGGCAAAGCGACGGTCTCAGATGGACCAGCCCTGGGCAAGACGGGAAGAGTGACAGGTCAGGCCGGAGAGACTTAAAATGATGAGCGAGAAGGAGAAACGGAAGGGGCTGGAGTATGAAAGAACAACCGAGGGTGGAAACCAGGCACACGGCAGGGAAGATGCGGGCTCAGTGGGAGAACTGGCGCGTGCATCAGCACTGGGGGACAGGGGTGAAGGGAACAAGAGGGATCCGAAAACAAGGCGGCTGGACAGGTGAGGGACCTTTGAGGACCAGGCGCTGCTACTCTAATTTGCTGACAAGGGTCCTGGGGCCAGCAAGTGTCCAGGGACACTGGGGAGAAGCGGAGGGGACTGCAGACAAGGGGCCTGGTAGGGGCATGGCTGGGGACGGGATGGGGACCCGGACTAAGACTCAGGGATGTCTGTCAGTGAAGGGGGGCTGAGACCCGGGAGATCTCAGAACTGGGGGTCCGCACACTGGGAGGGACTGGGGGACAGCAGCCTCCAGGAACTGTTGTAACCGGTGGGGTCAGGGGACAACGAGTGCGCGGCCGCAGGCGGTCAGAGATCTGCAGGTGACCAGCGGCCAGGACCCGGGAGGACTGGTGGCCAGGGATCAGGAGGCAGGGAGTGATGGGGCAGAGGTCTGCGATAGAGGGGGACTCGGAGAGCCGGAGCGTGCAGCTGGAGCGGCGGGAACCGGAGCAGTCGGGTCGGGTGACAGCGGCGGGGCCACCACTCACCGCTCATGATGCCGCTCCGGGGACCGGTGCCTGCGCCGTGCCGCCGCCACCGCCGCGTCTGCTGCCGCCAAGCTCCACACAGGCCGGGAGACAGCGCGCCCACCCCGCCCGCCCGCCCGCCGGACCCGCCCCGGAAGTAGAGCGCCGCCACCGCCCAGATCCCGCCCCCTGACCCGGAACGTAAACACAAACGCCGGCGGGGGCGCGAAGGCGGTGGTGAGGGGACACGCGCGGGTGGCGGAGGTCGCGGCTGGTCCCAGCTCAGCGGGAAATGCTTCCGCGCCCTCTTGCGCCTTACTCCTCTGTCCCGGCGTCAGACAGCGGAGGAAGCCACGAGTAAGCGGACAATACAGTTCCGAAGAGGGATGCTAGCGGGGAGGGAAATGAGAGAAGTGCAGCCAGGCGTGCTGGGCACAGAAAGCAGACGTAGGAGGGTCGCGAGTTCGAGGCCTGTCTGGGCAAAGTTAGCGAGACCGTGTCTCAAAAACAGAACTCGAGTGGTAGAGTGTTTGCATAGCATGTGTAAGGTCCTGGGTTCAACCCACAGTACTGCAAAAATTATAATAATTGATAATAACAAGCCAAAGCTGCAGATGAGCAATCCCGGAGGGCCTCGCTAAAGAGGCGACTTTGGGGCCAAGACCTGGATACAATCAGAGGGAGTCGGCCCAGGAAGATCCCCAGGAAAGGTATTCCAGAAGGAACGAGTGCAAGTCTGGAGGGGTTGGCTGGCTGAAGCATGAGGATAAGTGAGACAAGAGATAGTGGGAGGACCTCGCAGGCCAGAGGAAAGAATTTGAAATAGGAGGATCGCGAGTTCAAGGCTAGCCTGGGCTATGTATGAAGCCCCTGTCTAGGAAAAAAAAAAAATAGGACTAAGAAAAGAGTGTTTTCCCAATTTGTTTTGCCCACTCCCAGAGAGAAAAAATATATTTCATGTTGCAAATCTGTAGACTCGTGTATATTTAAGGAGATATCTATAGATAATTCATTCCTTTCTTTTTTCTTTTTTTTTTATTGCTGACCGAGACTTACTCAGTTGATCCATGGGTAAATCTTGATCTATAGTTGTAATACCAAGGACCGAGCCCCACTAGGAAATAGAGCCAGAATTGCAGCCTGGTTCTCTGTGGCCCCACAGCCCTAGGGGTCTCCCTGCTACTTTACCTCTGAGCACATAATCTCCACTTATGCCCTCCATCTCCCACCCAGCCCACTCCACACCCCAAGAATTTACCTCTAAGGAAAAGATCTGCTAAGGCCCAGACCTCTTTAGAGAAGAATGCTCTACAAAGTTAGTTATCATAGGGGATAAGTGGCAATAAGAGTTCTCAGCTGTTGTATCAATAAAAAGATAATCCTGATACTGGATGAGGGGTGAGGGGGTTTCCCCTAGATTTCCAGTTTCCACACAAAATCACAGGTACCTGAGATCCACAAACATGAAAAGAATTTCAAGGTGTCTCTCAACAGAGAGTCTCACAAGGCTGTAGCTTTTACAAGGATTTATTTCGGTATAGCAGGATAAGGAAGAGAGAAATGGGGGATGGGGCATTTCCTGTTCCCCATGCAGGAAATGGGAGTAAAGACTCCAAATGGTGGCTCTTACTTTACACTTTCTGAACTGAGGGAATAAGTCTAGCAACTCATAGACAGTGGTGGCTAAGATGAGTGCTAAAACATGGAGATCAGCTCTAGGCCTACTCAAAATGTAGGGGCAGGAAGTAAGTTTTATGACTTGCCTTTGCCACTCTTCCTGCTTCTATCTCTTCAAGGAGCCGTGTAGCTTCTTAACATCTGGAAGGAGAAGGCAGATGCAGACAGCCCCTTTAAGTCTCCTTGTTCTCATAACTCAAAATCTAAAAGGAGGTGGGAAGGGATCTTGCTGTTCTGGCTTTTCAGTTTTTACTTCCTCTGTCCTGTGTCTGAGTCTGAGCCTTTTAATATTTATTAAAAAACAGTAATTTGCCTGTCTCCTCATCTATCCTACCTCAGGTCAATATAAATAACTATTTCTTCTTTCCCCAAGTTTTCATTATAAAATACTTCACTTTTTTAGTCCCAGTGGCCATTTTTCTGAGCCTTGCAACTTGCTGGTGACTGAGAGAACTTGTCTCAGGACAAGTGCTTTGTTTTTGGCTGGCTTCCCTAATACCTCAGTAAACTTCTCTTTCAGAGATCTTTCGGTCTCAGTGTTTTTTGTTTTTGTTTTGCAGTACTGGGCTTTGAACTCAGGGTCTTGCACTTGCCAGGCATTCGTTCTATCACTTGAGCCACACCCCAACCCAATGCCCATCTTTTATAAGTTGATCCTCCCAAGTAGCCAGGATCACAGGCCTCAGCACCCCACTGTCAGTGTCCATTTTGATTCCACAGTGGAAAGTACCAAAGCCCAACTGTTCAATAGCTGAGCAAATCATGCCTAGCACACAAGTGACCTCTTGCAGGAGTTAGAAATGCTGATTGGAAAGACTGCAAATGTGGGAGAAAGCCAGTGATGATAATTACATGAGAAAGCCCACGCTGAGAAGTTGGTGTGCCGTGATTACATTTGTCAAAATACACCTGTGTGCAGGAGCCATGAGAGACTGGAAAGATGAGAAGGCACATTATTCGTTATGAGCCTTTTCTGTCACCCTGAGTTTGTGCTGGTAAGTGGCAGCTAGCTTGATGGTAGTGTAGGCTGCTCACCAGAGAGAGATGATCAAACAGTAGAGTGTTCAGTCCCACTCCCAAAATTAACTGGAAAGTAAGATGGATAAAACCTCTTAAACTGCAAGATTGGTGTGGCTTCTGCTTTATGGTGCCAAGAAAGTATGGAAGCCCTGTGCCCTTCCCCCATACCTCGCCCTCTCATCTGGCTGTTCACTGGTATCCTTTATAATAAACCAAGAAATGGAAGCAGTGTTTCCCTGAGTTCTATGCACTGTCATAGCAAATTACTGAACCTGAGGAAGGGGGAGGTGGTGAAAACTCCAGTTACAGCCAGTGGGGCAGAAGTCACAGCCTGGAACCTTCAATTGGTGTTGGAGAGCAGGCATGTCATCTGTGGGATCTGACACTGTCTCAGGTAGATGATGAAAGTGTTGGCTGTGGATTGCTTAGTGCCTGGTGAACACCCCACACCATGATCCTAGAAGTGCTCTATGTTGAATGTGAGCACAGAAAAAGTGTTTTCCTGTCCATTGTGCTGTATGTTTTCTACCACCAACCACCAATAGTAGTATTGTAAATCTTTCTCCTCAGGATCAGTTTGTAGGAATCAAAAGTTTAAGGTCAATAGCTCATGTGGTTTTAAAAAATCTATACTCATTGAGGAGCTTGAATGGAGAGGGGGAGCCTGTGAGAAGCTGGGGCCGATATTTGAGGCCATGCACTAGGAAAGGAGTGTGTACCTGTCCCTGGGGAGAGACCAGACCTCAGCAGGACCAAACAATACACATAACTATAATAGCAACGAATACAAGTACTTACAAAGCAGGCAGTTTTAGAAACCCTGTAAATGAACTCTAAGCTCATTTAATCCTTAAAACAATGTGACATGCAGATGCTATTATTATCCTCATTTTACAGATAAGGAAACTGAAGCCTAGAGTCTTTACGTGACTTTCCCCTAGTTACCCACAGTCTGTAATTGCCTAGGAGTCAGGATTCAAACCCAGGCAATCTGGTTCCTTGAACTAATCCTTTAACCACTATTACCATATTGTCTCCTGTAGTCTGGGAGGACACAAACTAGAGGAATGAGAGCCCTTATAGGCAAAAAGTTCCCATATCCCAATTGTGCACAAAAGCCTCAGAGCCCCAAGACTTTGAGGGTCCATCTGTGGTGCCAGTAGGCATCTTAACAATGACCAAAGTCAATGGATGACCAGATGGTACCCACTGTGACATTGCCTTTCCATAAGACCTTAGGTCCTTTGCATAAAGCCTGGGAAAGGAGCCCTCGCCCAGTAAGGACCAAGATAAGAGACCAAAGAGATGGGGAAGTCAGAAATAGAATGGAATGAAATCGATGGGCAGAAGGAAAAAAAAGAATCTATGAATCTGTCTAGCTTAAATCCTGACTCTGCCACTGCTGTAGTTTGAAAGTGTCCCATCTGCAATTCAGATGTTGCCAAAGTGATAATATTGAGAGGTGGTGATGGCCCATTGAAGGTGCGCCCCTTATGGATGGCATTAAGACCCTTGTAAAAGAGACTTCACACTGGCTTCAGTCTCTTCCTCTCCCATCTTCCAGTGCATGAGGACACAGCAAGAAGGCTCTCAACAGACACCAGCACTTTCATCTTGGACTTCCCAACCTCCATAACTGTGAGAAAATAAGTTTCTGTTCTTTATACATTACCCAGGGCTGGTGAAATGGTTCAGGCAGTAAACTGCCTGCCAAGTAAGTGTGAAGCCTGAGTTCAAACTCCAGTACCACAAAAAAAACAATTATATGCATTAAACCCAGTCTCAGGTAATCAGTTATAGTAGAACAGACTCAAGACTAATATTACTTTGCTCTGATCAGTTTCTGTCATCTGTAAGATAGAGTTAATAGTGGTTCACCTGCCTGCCAGTGCCTTAGTACATTGAATGAGTAATACATATAAGGCACTTGTAACAGTCCCTGGATAGCAATAAGCCTATAAAGTGTTATCTATAATTACTGTGACATACACCACATTTGGACTGAAACCAGTACCTAGTTCACCTTAGCCACCGTGTGCAATTACACATTTATTCGTATAATTCTAATGCCCAAAGCCTTCATTAGCTTGAAGTCCACAAGGCCTAGAAACAACTGTGCACTGTGTGCTGAATTAGCATGGCCGATGCTAGGCTTCTCCTATTTACAAAAGTACACTGGATATCCTTGCTTTCTTTCCTTTAGCAATTAAGAATCCAAGCAACCTTAAATGTGTATACAAGAAAAAAGTGGTCTATGCACAGAAATGTGAGAATGGGGGTCTACAGACTGCGCTGGTTGGTTGGTTGTTTCCAGGAGTCAAGAATTTATTCATGAAAACAAAGAATTTTCCAGATAAGCCCCCAACAATAAGATAGGGAAGCATGTCTAATATAAAGTATTTCCAGAATTAAAGGACAAAAGCTGTGTCAGTAATGGATAAACTTGGTTATCGTGAAGAAATCGGAAACATCTTATTTTCCTGACGGTCAAAAAGATGAATCATCTAGTAGAAATTGATTTCTCTATCCCAGTGGCACTTGAAGCAGCTGGCAGGCTTTTGCAGTAGTCATTGGTTTTCGTGGTAACAAGAATGGTTGCACCCTCCTCCATGGCCGGGAGAGGAAAGAAATGGTCAGCCTCACCCGTGGGTTTGCTGTTGACACAGTCTTCACAAGTGCATTCTTCTACTGTGTACCCCAGGCTTCTCGGGAGGATCACATTTTCACCCACCCTACTTTTGTCCAAGTTGGCATTAGTCACGTCCAGGAGAACTGATCCTGATGGCACAGAAACAGAAACATGAACCTAAGCTTTCTAGGGACAGTCTTAGTGCACCTCGGGACTGAAAGCACCACAAGACGATGGAGCCTGTCCTGCACTAGCAGTCATAGGCTAACAGACCCCAGGCCACAAGGGGCTCTACAGCAAGCTTGGTTTGGAGTGTTTTTAAGTGTTTGCTTGTTTGTTTTCTGCTGATTGCATTTAAAAATCAAGAGATTTCTCAAACAAATCAAGGCTCTGAAAAGACAACAAAGTATGACAACACAGAAGCAACATGGAAAAACTCGGCTGGAGTTGACAGCAGCAGCCATGGGCTCTCCAGCTGGCCCTGCAGGTGCATCTGTTACCCATTTGGCCTTTGCAGACATTGAGGTTTTAGCTTTATCTCACACACATGAAAGTGACAGAAGTTACCATATGTGACAGGACACCAAAGTCAGGGCCTATGGGAGACATTGTGCAACGTGAAAGTAAAGATGCTTCTCTTCAGAGCACCTTGCAGCAAATGAAAACTTGTATTAAGTGAGCCTCCCTCCTATGTGCCCCACTGTGCACCTGTGAAAGGACGCTTTCCACTTCCCAGCATTCCACATGTAACTTTACCTTCTAAAACATCTGAGTCATGCTAGAAATTAGCCAGACACAGAAAAAATACTTATGACCTCACTTACATGTGGAATCTAAATAAGGTAAATTCTAGAAACTGTAGAAGGATGGTATGGGGAAGAGAAGGGGAATTTGGGGCTGATGGTCAGAGGACACAGTATAGCATATAACAGTTTTATGTGATGAATAAATCAAGATCTCCAGTGTGGCAGGATGTCTGGTGTAGGTACTGTAAATTAGCTAAGAGGAGATTTCAGCTGTTCTTACCCCAGATAAGAAAAGATAAGGGGCTTGTGGACAGGCTCAAGTGGTAGAGTGCCTGCCTGGCAAGCATGAGGCCCTGAGTTCAAGCCCTAGTACCACCTCTGCCCCTCTCCCCCCACCAAAAAAAAAGTTATCAATTTGACTGGGCACCAGTGGTTCACACCTGTCATCCCAGCTACTGCAGAGGCAGAGATCAGGAGGATCATAGTTCAAGGCCAGCTGGGCAAATAGTCCCAGTTACCCTATCTCAAAAATACCCAACACACAAAAAAAAGGGCTGGTGAAGTGGCTCGAGTGGTAGAGCACCTGCCTAGCAAGCGTGAGGCCCTGAGTTCAAACCCCAGTACAGAAAAATAAAAGAATAGGTAAATAGGTAAGGAGATGGATCTGCTAATTTGCTTGGCTGTAGTTATCATTTCACTATGTATATGTAATCAAAATGTTCTACTTAAATATATACAATTTTTATCTTATGTTAAAAAAATTCATTCTCCACTTGTCTATGAGATCCCAAGGGGAAAAGAAAATGAGTAAACTCTATGGAGCAGTCATCCACCTCCTACTGCTTTGGAAAGCAAATGAGGTGGCTGCTCAGACTGGAAAATAAGTGCATAAGAAATAGGACAGTGGCTGCCATGTGTTTAAGAATCAGCTCATGGCAAAAGTGCTACAGAAATATTTTCATCTGAAGAGGCCCTCGGGTAGAACGTGTACTTCTCTGATACTGACTCTCCACTACTTGATAAGGAATTATTTTCAAGATGATTGCTCAATCCAGGACCAACTGGTTATTCATTTCTAGCATTTTTCAGTAGTAAAATGTTCACTCAGCAAACAGTTCCTGTATTTGTATTAAAAACATGACCAGATCTTGCCAAATGTGTTTTTTCCTGACAATAGCAGACCTAGCTAGCAGTTTTTGGTAGCAGGACATTTAATCAATGTGCTAACTTTAGTCAAAGATGTTTTCCCAGGAAACAGCAGTACTTCAGTACAAGAATTAATTAGCAAGGGAAGAAGGGGGCGGGGCTGACATTGTAAGGAGAGCTGCAAAAGGTGACAGTGCCAGACAGAAGACTCTCCTGCCTAACTGTCCACTCACACACCTGAAAGTGCTCTAACAGAACAGAAGAGTGGATGCTAAAAAAAGAAAAGCAAATGAAACTGACAGTAGTCACCCTCAGAAATAGTTTTCAGAGATTCGCCATCAAACCAACCTGTGTGTTTAAATTCGTCCTTCAGAGGTTCCCAGCTCATCTTCCTGAGCAAGAACACTAGCATGAGGACTGCCAAGGACACCAAACTGAGGCCCAGACAGGCCCAGAGAACAGCATTCGTCGCCTTTGCCGCCGTGCTCATACCTTTATTAAAAGAATACCGGAAATAATAAGCTGAAGACGAAATCGTCACATCAAGCAGGAATCATTGGCCATCCCTTCTCTAATCCATCAGCATTGACTTTGAAATTCTAAATACCAGGTAATTAGAAGAGCTGATTTAAAAAAAAAAAATCTGTGTCTCCAGCAAGGTTGAATAAAATTGAGTTCAGTTCTGAATACTTGGTTCCTATAGACTTCGAAATTATCGCTGTTTCCTTTCTCCATTTGATTCAGAAAAATCTCCCCATCTTCCCGACAATGTTTATTCTCTGAATAAACTGAGTCATAGGGAGTATGTCACACTGAGGCCTAGTTGTTGAAGCCCTCTTACTTACTTGCATTACAGTAACGCTGACACATTGCAGGAGGGGTGTTGGAACATCGAAGGTGACAAGGTTTGCAAGCGTGCAGCAGGCTGTCAAAATACTCATTTTGGAAGCACTGCTGAGCCATCTGGAACTTGATCCCACAAAGAAAGAAGGGAACAAAAGAAAGAACAGCATGGAAGGACAAGCAAAATCTCAAAAGAATTACCCAGCAAATGCAGTGACAGCAGCTAGAATATCGAGGAAAAAAGACTTGCAATCACACTGTTGGTTCTTATGGGGGTGTCAGCACTGTGGCTAAAGATTTGAATACCACCTCTACTGCACGGTTCTATGCTGGAGGCCTGGGTGGGGCAAGGTGAGGTTTTAAATATCATGCCAAACCATACCTGAAACAGAAACTGCTTATTTATAGAGGAAATTTCTCAAGCAGGTGATAGTTGCAAGATGTAGACTAAATCTTCACTTCAAACACTAAATCCAGTAGCCATTTCTGGATTATCTGCTTATGAGCTATATGGTGTGATAGAGACAGGTAAGACCAGGTCTGTGGTCTTTAAGAACTTAAAATCTAACAGGGAAGATCAAGTAAACCTAAACACCAGGAGGGGCAGTATGACTGATAGGCTGGGAGAGGAAAGGCGAGTCAAAGTCACACATGGCTTTTGGGTTCTGAACCTGAACAAGGGAAGAATTGCAGTGCACTGATGAGGAATGAGGAAGTGGGAAAAAAGCTAGAGGCTTGTGGGAGCTGGACCCAGGGTATTAAAAGTAATCCGTATTCCACTGTTGAAAATTGAGAAAGTCCCAATGAGCAGGTAGAAAAAACATCCGTGGTCCAGGCATGTGAAAACAATCATCTTAACCTTCAATGCATCCCAGAGGTTGCAAACAGACTGCCAGTGTGTTCTGTTTGACCAGCCTCTGATAGATAGGCTTCTAGAGGGATAGAGGGATGGATGCATGGATGGATTTATGCAGTGCATTTTATGTGTTACATAAATGAAATCACTTGAGTTTGCTTTTAACCATAGTGAGTGAGATTCACATAGGTAGCTATGTCCTGATGTCCACTAGAAATACACAAGACAAGGCTGGGGGTGTAGCTCAGTGGTAGAGCACCTGCCTAGCATGTGCAAGGTCCTGGGTTTCATCCCTACCACTGCTAAGAAAAAAACTAAAGACAGAAATATGGCTAGGCACTCATGGCTCACACACCTGTAATCCTAGCTGTTCAGGAGGCAGAGATCAGGAGGATGGAGGTGTGAAGCCAGCCTCGGCAAATAGTCCACCAGACCCTGTCTAGAAAAACCCATCACAAAAAAGGGCTGGTGGAGTGGCTCAAGGTGGAGGCCCTGAGTTCAAGCCCCAGTACCACCAAAAAGAAAAAGAAAGAAATACGGGACTCAATTAAAATGCAAGGAAATGACAAACTCCAAAGTCAATATAGTGATTCTTTCTGGGGTAGGTGAAGGGAAGGACAGCCCAAAACAGGCTTGTTAAATATTGATTGTATTTGATTTATTAAGCTGAGTGGTGGATACACTGACACTCACTGTATTTTCCTTATGTTTTTGTTATTCTTTACAATGTTTTCATGTTTTAAAAATAGTACATAATAAATGTTAGGGTGGTGACAGAAAAATGCAAAAATTAAAAACAGCACACTTTTTTCTTCATGGTACTAGCGTTTGAACTCAGGGCCTCACGCTTGCCAGGCAAGTGCTCTTATCACTTTAGTCACTCCATCAGCCCACAAAATAACACATTTTTAAATGCAGGATTTAAGCCAAGAAAAGAACTAAGATGTTAATCAAAACTTCAAGCTCCTCCAGGGTTCTGGCAGCGAGGTCAGGGGCACAACCATGTGCTCTCCCAGTAATTTAAAGGTTGCAAAGAGTACAGGCTTTGGAGTGGTTGGTCCAGAGAGCTACCTCTGGAGGCTCCTCAGAGCTGCTCTGCCTCCTCATCCCGGGGCTATGGTTTGAGAACAGAGGATAACCCAAGTCTAGTCAGCCTCAGGCTTCAGCTGTCACTCACAGCTCTGAGCAAGCGAATCCAAGCCAAGCTGCCTCAAAGCTCCCAAGCTGTCAGTAGTGCCCACCTGAGCAGCAGTCGGAGATAGCCTCCCAAGAATGATCGCATTTATTTGGCAAAAGCAGAGCACTACAGTGGGAACACTCATGAGGAGTAAACTGTGAGTGTATCCACAGAGCAGGAGGCAAGGGAACGTGTTTTAAAAAGTGAGATGAAGGCCTGGTGGACTGGCTCAAGTGGTAGAGTACCTGTGTAGCAAACATGAGGCCCTGAGTTCTAAACCCCGCTGCCGCCAAAAAATAAAAATAAAAAGTGAGATGAGAGCCAGTTCCAGTGCCTCATGCCTTTAATCCTAGCTACTCAGGAGGCAGAGATCAAGAGAATTGAGGTGCAAAGCCAGCCCAGGCAACTAGTTCTTGAGCCCCTGTCTGGAAAACACAACACAAAAAAGGGCTGGCAGAGTGGCTTAAGTGATAGAGCACCTGCCTAGAAAGTGGGAGGTCCTGAGTTCAAGCTTCCAGTACCACCAAAAAAAAAAAGTAAAAATTGAAAAGCCAGAGCAGCTAGCTCCTCCCATCTCCTTTTAGATGTTGAGTTATAAGAGCAGGGAGACTTCTCTGAGATGTTAACAAGCTGCAAGACTCCATGGATAGGTGGAGGAACCCAAAAAAAAAGGGAGAAGTCCTAAAGCACACCCATCCTAGTGACCTAGATCCATTATCTTTTTTTTTTTTTTTTAAGTGGGACTCAGGGTTTGGTGCTTGCAAAGCAGGCACTGTACGGCTTGAGTCCAGTTTTACTCATGAGATGGGGTCTTGTGAACTATTTGCCTGGGGTGGCCTTGAACTTCAATCCTCCCAATCTTAGCCACCCACATAGCTAGGATTATAGGCGTGAGCCACCAGTGCCCAACTTAACCAAATATTACTGGGTAAGGCTTTCTGGTGCATTGCAGTCCAAAATGAAAGAGGCCTCAAAAGAACCCAAAACAAGAAAGCAAAGAAAGAGCAGACACCAGACTAGAAGTTCTGGCCCTCCAGTGCCCCCATAAACTGTGATGGGTTAGCATCTTCAACTTGAGATGGAGCCCAGGGGAAGTGGCCTGTACCTAGGGAGGCTGGGGGACATGAAGCAGCTCAGAGCCAGGATCTAAGGAGGCAGGGCTTCTTCCTCCTTCCTGCCCTCCTCCTTGATCTCCCTGCATCCCTCAGAAGCCTTGTTTGCTAGGGATGTGAAAAGGTTAGTTTTATTTGGGGCCAATTCTCGGGCTCTTCTCATTTTCCATGAGGATTCTCTTTGAAGATCAGTTCCTCTGAACTCTTCTCAGAAGCACCATCCATCAGCTCTTCAGAATTCTTCAAAGTGACTTCACTTGGATTTCCTGGACATCCCAATGGTTCACAATTGCAGGGTGCACTGTGTCAGGGAAGTTGGATTTTTCTTTCTCTAATTACTGGTTTCTCCCTGGAACACTTCTTTCCTCCAGTTTAAACACCAAGCTCCATAAGACACAGCCTGCTGAGAGGGCCCTATCTGCATCAGATGATCTGAGAGGCCAACAAAAATCCTTCTACCCGCTAAACCTTCATCTCCTTCCTACTACACACGAGACACTGAACCAGGCACCACAGGACAACAGTGAGTTCATTTTAGATGTGGTCTTTGCCACAATGAAGCTTACACTCTTATTAATTTAAAAAGTTAAGCTGGGCACCGGTGGCTCACACCTGTAATCCTAGCTACTCAAGAGGCAGAGATCATGAGGATTGTGGTTCAAAGCCAGCCTGGGCAAATAGTTTTGAGAGACCCTGTCTCAAAAAAAACCCATCACAAAAAAAGACTGGTGGAGTGGCTCAGGTGGTAAGAGTGTCTGCCTAGCAAGCATGAGGCCCTGAGTTCAAACCCCAGTGCCACCAAAAATAAAATATTTTAAATTAAAGTAATAAAGTACATACAATTATGAAAATGCAGGACTAGGGATGTAACTCAAGTGGCAGAGCACATGTCTGGCAAGCTCAAGGCCCTGAATTCAAACCCAGTACCTCCAATAAATAAATAACAGTATAAAATAGGTACAATTATGAAAATGCTATAAAGAAAGAAGCATGGTACTAAGATTGAAACTGAAAAGAAGTGAGGGTGGAGGGCAGGCACTCAGTGGTAACTAGGGTTCTCTGAGAAGCACGGGCCAAGATGAAGCTAGCCAAGATGGGCTTACTGAGGGGAATGCCTAGGAAGGACAGAGGGAAGAAGCTGAGAAGGGGAAGAGGCTTCAGAGCTCAATGCACCATCATCACTGAGGCCACCACAGTCTATTAATCTACTTTCTGTCTCTATGGATTTGCTTATTGTGGACATTTCATGTAAATATCATCCCACATGTGGATTTCTAGGTCTGGCTTCTTTCACTTAGCACAAAGGTTTCAAAGTTCACCCATGTTCTAGCATGTATCATACTTCATTTATTTCTATGTTTAAGTAATAGTCCATTAGCCAGGCACGAGTGACTCATGCCTGTAATCCTAACTACTCGAGAGGCAGAGATCAGAGATCACAGTTTGAAGCCAGCCCTGGGCAAACAGTTCTGAGGCAGGCAGGTTAGGGATAGTCTGGAACTGCTTCCCTCACTCAAGGGCTCCTCCCCCAGCCCACAGGTGAGAGGGGCCAGGTGATGATGTAATGTCTCCCCACCTCCAAGTTCAAGGTGGTACTAAAAAACCCACCAAGACACCCCAGCCCTTCTTCCCTTTCCTTACCTGGTGGAACGAGTGACTGCCCTTTCCTCAGTAAAGCTACTGTACCTCATCCCATCCACATTTTCTGCTTGGATTCTTCAGTTTTTGCGTTACAAGGACCAAGATCTTCTAAAAGCACCAATTGCCGATAACATTTGTGGGAAGCCAACCAAGAACAACCAAGGAGTGAGATCCCAATATGCTATCTCTGCTAATCCTTTTTATTGCAATCCATCTTTCTCTGTCCTTTGGCCCCACACCTCACCACCTGGTGTTTCAGAACCAGACACCACTCACAACTTGGGTGGTATGGGACCTTCACACTGGGACACTCACCCACTGCTGGGAACTTGTT